AACGAAGAAAAAAAAAAGCCAAAAAAGTCGTTGGGTAAGTGCCCCTGGCAGCATCAATGTACGAGTTGTCTGCCCCTCTCGTTTCAGGTCAGCAAAGAGATATCCTGCAGCCTCTGGCTCACTAATCCTTTCTTCGCGTCATTCAATACCAGTACTATCTCACAGGGAAAAAAAGCGAAAAACATGCCGTAAAAATTGAACCTGTGACAGAATAGCCTTCTAGTTTCATGAGAAGGAAACTGAAGGAGCGTCAGAATTTCCATTCTCGAGGGGCCCCAGCGTCTTCACCTCCTACGGTTAACCCACGAAAAAGTGGTTGCTCCGAGACTACAGGCCGGATTATTTGAGCAAGGAAAGCCTATGATTTGGTTGAGCGCGGAGATTATCTTTGAGTCAAGGGGGGAGGTTTCTAGAGAGTGAACCGATGTAACAGTCCCTTCTCCTTAGCTTTTTTGTTTTGCTCATTTCCCGAAACTATAATCTCAAAACAGAACAGCAAACTTTACCTCCAAATTATCTACGTCTGAGAACCGAGTAGTCGCATTGTCGTAAAAGTTCTAAGTGAATGGTTCACAGTTTTTACATTCTAGTTATTTGGGAAACCTAATAGGAAGACATACTGTTCAGTTGTTCAAAGAATAACCGAAAGTGCGTCGATATTCATTGTTATGTAGTTGGGCGCGCTGCTCGCGGATTATTCTAGCAAGCGCGTGAGTGTTTACATACACCTCTGCTGCACTTCAAAGGGAACTCCCCGAAATCCTCCTGACATTTAATCTAGAATGGACTATGGCCAAATACGGCCAAATACAACTTGACAATCCTTCTGACTAAATTTTGTCCATTTTTTACTTATTCTTCAGAAAGGCATTATACGGTCTAAAATGGTAGCTTGGGTGTTATATAATTGGAAAATGACGAAAAAGCGAAGTGGAACGGTCGAAAACCTGCAAAAAAAGACCTTTGTTCTAGTACGACCCAAAAGCAATTTGGACGAGTTTCCCGTTGGCATCGTGCCAATAACCGCTACGGTAGATATGGCTGCATGTATGCACTCATATATAGTGTAGTTCGCTGCGGACGGTTGGGCGTGTCAGTGCGGCTGCGTTTGGCGCGGTGCCAAACTCGTTCTCCACCAGTTGTTGAAGCGGGCAAGTGACAATACTGTATCATATCCTTCGTATTACTCGTTTTCTACCACTTTTTGTCGCATGCGCGTTTCAACAAGAAGGCAGAGAACGGCCTTGACGCTGTGCACACTCATACTGGCTGACACGCCCAACCTTCCGCAGCGAACTAGGTGTACCCATGCAGCACCGCAGCCCCTTCATATTGAACTTCGCAAATGATGCCACACGAGCATCAGTCGGTCTGATATTTGTGGGCGGGTGGGCGCGGATGGCGTCCCGGAGGGTATGTTGCAGCTTGATAAGGCACCATAGGGGTGCTCTCCTTGGAAAAGCGCCACACAGCCCCTGCTCAGAGGCGCCGAATTATGTCCTGCTAGGTGATTCTTGGGATTGCAACTTGCCTTCAATGATGATCACCCCATATATATAATTCGCTTCGTCTGTTTGTTTGTAAGTTTGTCTGTCCGGAAATTCGGTTCGACCTGAAGAACGACTTGGAGAGGTCGGGTCAAGGTGGGGATGGGTAGGGCATGGGACAAGAAATAAAAAGCACACTTGACCTATGGGAAGCCCCGCCCACAGTGGGCGGAGCTTGCCCTAAATCGCAGGGTATTCATTTTAAAAGTTTGTAGCTCGGTTCCAGAACACTCCAGACACCGGAAAAAAGTGGACTAAGGTCAGCAGAGGGTCGCCGGTGAGGATTGTGGGGCAAAAACATTGTGGGCGGAGCCTGCTCCGAGGTGGGCGGAGCCAGACAAAAAGGTCTGTAAAACGGTTCCAGAGCACTTCAAAGACCGGAAAAAAACGTGGATTAAGGTCAGCAGAGGGTCGCCGGTGAGGATTGTGGGGCACAAAATTGGGGCGGGGCCTGCTCCGAGGTGGGCGGAGTCAGACGAAGAATCTGTAAAATATAGGTTGGAAGGAAAGTCTTGTCACTGTTGTGACTTTTTTTTTTATTTTCTAACTCAACATACAGTGGGAATTAGTCAACAATATACTCGTCATAGTTAGCCACTACAGTGCTCCACCCAATGGACAGGTAAGCATTCCCCTCCTCCCAGAACTGAGAAGGCTGCGAGTAGAGTAAGTCAGCGCCCTCTCGACTGATGTCATCAAAATTGCTGAAAGTTTTCTTAGCTAAGAAAGCCTAAGGAGGCGGAGCAGGTAGCAGTCGTAGGGGACTACGTCAGGAGAATATTATGAGCGGGGACTGGTCTTCCAGCCTTGCTCCTCAATTATTTGGTAGGTCTTCATAGCAGGTATGGGGTCTCGTGTACTACGAACGAGGTGACCAGAAGCTAGTCTCGGTCATTTTTCTCCAACAATTTTCATTCGTTTCGGGAGCTGAGCGACGCAAATGGTGGCGGTGATCGTGTGTTCTTACAGGGCAGCTCATTGTGCAGCATTCCCCTCGCGTCCCAGGAGCAGCACAGGAGAACCTTCTCGGAATACATGCCCGGTTTGGACTGCTAGAATGGATCTTCTCTTGAGAGAGACAAACGGTACTGTGTGGGTTGAAATCATAGAGGACCCATCTCTCATCCCCACTAAGCAGTCTCCCGGAAACTCCTTCTGACGAGGGCGGAGAAGGGGAGACTGATCAAGGGGTACCCGGGTGCACAGCGTGCCATCGGTCAAGGTATGAGTGATCCATCGAGCCACTACTTTTTGGTAGTCAAGGGGCTTACAGGCGGTGGACGACTGTCAGTTAGGTACATCCGAGTCTTGTCGCAAGACTGCGGGTGGTAGCCTCTGGATCCCCTTGTCTGCTTCGAGAATGGTGGAGTCTTATACTTCTTGGGGCCGTCCCAACCAAGGTTTGTCTTCGAGGATCGAGTCTCTTTTCGCGAAGCGAGCGAACTAAAAGTGAACGATCCTGACGGTAGTGGTGTCCTCCCTCAATGCACTGTTGATGTTACGGACAGCTGCCGTGGCTCCAGTGCCGCGGGGCCACTGATAGAAGATGATGACCCGAAGATACTCCTGTGAAACTGACATCGTAATTAAACCCAGGGAAGAGCAGGCGCCCTCACACGCCTCTTGCAGGAAAGCTCCCAGAGTGTCCTACAAGCATAGCATGTTACGTCATGTACGAGCATCGAGAATCAAAAACTGTAAGCTTTTCAAAAAACACTGACAGGACTTTCCTTCCAACCTATAGTTTCAGAGCACTCCGTACACCGGAAAAAAGTGGATTAAGGTCAGCAGAGGGTCGCCGGTGAGGATTGTGGGGCACAAACATTGTGGGCGGGGCCTGCTCCGAGGTGGGCGGAGTCAGACGAAGAATCTGTAAAATAGCTCAAGAGTACTTCAGACACCGGAAAAAAGTGGAGTACAGAACAAAAGGCGGATATCAGTTGAGTCTAGAAATATGTGAAAGAAAATACGCGCGGCGAAGCCGCGCCCGCCCGGCGCAGCCGGGCCGTATCAGGAGGCGCGCCGGCGTTAGCCGGCGAGCCGACTGGTTTGCAATAATCCATTGTGGCGCTTGGTTGCGCTTATATCTAGCTAATGATTCGTGGAGATTGGTAACGGGAAAAACTATGGCAGTCTCAGTCCCATCCATGTTATCTCTATAATCTCCTTCTCAAACTTTTTTTTCAGTGCGTGGATCGAGTTCTTAGCTGTGGCATAGGGGAGTTGAACGCTTTCGCCGTTGTTCGACCACCAGGTTTGCTCCTTTCTCGTTCGCACCAAATATATCTTGTATGAGCTTTTCTTTTTCAGGTCATCATGCAGGTATATCCGAACCGAGTGGATTTTGCATTTTCAACAATGTTGCCATAGCAGCTCAGGTTTGTGGGCAGACTTGGTCTTTGGAACTCCTGGTCTCTGTTTTGTTAGAAGGCAGCGTCCGCGATTAGCCAAAGTTTTGAAACCTTTTAGCGTACGAGATGGCGGACTTTATAGTTATGGAGGATATCCCCTTTTCGCTGCTCGAAAGCACTTGACAAGAGCGCGACAGCTCAGCAACGATAAGCTAGCCCCGCCTACGCAAGCTAGTTCCACCTCGATCATTTTTTTGGTTTATTAGCGGTAATAATTGTTAGGTTATATGATATGAATTAGTTAACGGCTGACAGCGAAGCTGCGCTAAATTGGGAGAATTCGAACTCGTCCATTTTCAATCCCATACATGAGGTCTGGTTCGGGGCGTTCTCGACGGTTCTCTTTTGCTTTTGCTCTGGATTGATTCCTATTACCACATGACGCAGGGATTCTGTGCCCTGCTACCTGCGAAAGGCGACTGCGGGCGCTGTCTTTAGCCCGCTTTGCATCGCTTTTTCCATGCTTTATTGATGTTTTAAAGTGATGTCACCCTATGTCACCGAGGTTATTTCGCGTCGTGGATGCGTCGTTGCCACAATGGTGATCATTCGGGGCGATGCTCGATTTCTGCTGTTCTGCCTGCTGGTCCAAATCGATACTTGGCAAACACCATTGTTATTCCATTTCCCTGACGTGCGCGGAAGCCTTCCAGGGGACTGATCGTAAAAGCAACCGGTTGCATTGTTTACCAAATGCTGAGATATGAGAAGGCTCCGATCTAGCCACGAGGCTCGAGTGTACAAAGCACATCATTGGTTGGGTTTGGTCAAGTCCATACCCTCCCACTCCGGCCCTCTCTTCCTCATCGCCTCATCGAATCGAGCCGGGGGGGGGGTATACACTACGCATGAAAATCATGAAAAGCCACCACCACTCCTAATAGGCCAAAAACCAAATGCGACCTCCCAACAATGAGCAAGTACGACCTCCCTCCCTACAATGAGCAAGTACGACCCCCCCCCCTCCCCACTTTACAACGTCCGTGAAGCGAGAAAAATCAGCTATCAGATAAATTTTCCTCAGCCCAAATACGATCCCTCTCTTCTGGCGGCCAAATGCGACCCCCCCCCCTGTTGGGGATTCCCCAACAACGATGGGCCCTGGTACAAAGAGATATGGTTACCTTCCTGATCTGAGCGCCACCAAGCTGCGATCCAGCTCGAGTTTAATTGCTTGCTCTCTGCTTATTATCGTATATGCAGAGTTGTCTTATGAAACGTGCAGACAGTTTTGGGACTCCCCAATGAGGGGGTCGCATTTGGCCGCTGGAGGGGGTGAACGGAGGATCAGTCAGCAACGACCAGAAGAAAGCTGTCAGCATGGCTAAACTGTAGGGAGCAGAAATAGCGTCATAGAGAAGTGGATGTGTGAAAAACATGTTTCATACAGGATCCATTTCTGAGGGGGTACTTACTGACTCGTCCAGAGTCCTCTTTGCAAAGGTTTGCTCTACTTGGGAGGTATGACCTTCCATATCCTCGCGGTAGGGAGGGCGTGGCTGCGTACTTCATTTGAACATCTTGCAGAAAACGTTCCTCTTGGTATATTTACGATCGAGGCAGCTGCCATCGTGTCAT